TAGCGATAAGGTCGCCGTTGCCCACATTAGTTTTGAGCTGTCTGTTTACTGTTTTTGTTCTTATGTGTGGGCAATAAAGTGTATAGCTATCCATGTTTGCACGCCCATGTAATATTATTAAAAAAAATATTTATTTACTTATTTAGTTTGTACAACTTACACTTACAGTACTTATAACTAAACATGTAAGCCATAGTCACAAAAAAGGTCACAAAAAAAGGTTGAGTCGATCACCGGCCAAAGATAGGAAGCGGAATTTGGACCACAGAGCTTTGGGCGGTGACCGCCTCCAAATAGTAACCAGCGGATGTTAGAAATTCTGGTTCAGTGTTGCTGAACACGTCAATATAAACGTGGTCTGTCGAAGTGCGTGTGAGTAAATATATAATTTCTACTTTCAATATTTGTATGCTTAATGTTTGGCCGGACACAGTGAAACTATACTTATTTTGTACATGACAGGTTCTAAATAACCTGTGTTTTCACAAATAAATGAATTATTATTATTAACTTTTTATTAAATCCGCCTTTCCATGATTCGGTTTTGAAGGGTAAGGATGCCGGTGAAATTACAGGCACATGAGTCTTTTCAAGTTTCGTTTCAGGGTGACGGGAGGAGTGGCGGTGCCCCTTAAATCTATGCGATTTAAAGTTTTATGCAGCACTGCGCATGATACGGACAGTCCCTTATCTTTCTACGTAAGTTTTGTTTATATCAACCTTCCTTGTCAACCTCTTGGTTATGAGGGAAGGGCACGATACCCTGTGCGAGCAAGCCCGCACAGGGACCATCTGAGTCACGTCCTAACCCCAGATCAGCCCGTTTGCACGGACTTCATCCAATTCTCAAAAGGTGCCTTAGGTGAGCCACCCCGGGTGCACGTACAGCACCCTACAGCTGTGGTACCTATCTGGAAAATAATTTCCAGATAGGTACCAGAGCTGTAGGCACGCTCACTGATACGGACAGGTGTATCGCTTACCACCAGGCACACGACTTGCTCGTCTCGTCACTTCACCCACTGCTGGGTATAGGCCTCCCGTAGTTTGTGCCGCCTTCTAGTTATGATCAGTGCAAATTCACTTGGTACAGTACAAAATAAAATAAGATACAAAGATAAATTTACTTCTTCTTTTTTGAAGTTTGTTAGAAATATATAGGAGTAGAATTGTCTAATTAAGAAGCAACTTCATTCCCATTGGAGTAGAGTGGCTCATATTCACTACTTTATATATACATCTACATATATTTATTATATTTTTGAGTACGAAATAAATTTATAAACCAGGTAGGTAATGCTTTTATGATAATTTTCATTCAAGATGGGGTTTGAGCTAATCAAAATGATTTTTTTATAGTGGATGTTTTCTTGTATATTACTCATATTTAATGTGTACTATAATTTACTTTATATTTTTTTATGATACCAAGATCAATGAAATGTAATTATAATTACGCTATTTGTTAGTATTTTTTACCATATTTCTTTTATACATTATTAAACTAACTATAACTATTTATATAATTTTATTGTACATAATATCATTAAAATTTACACAGGGTATCAATAACAGTGGAGCTAATTATGAAAGACTTTTTCCAGGGAAGTATTGCCAGCTTACCCGTTTCTGACGCTAAGCAGTAATGTTAGAGCATTACTGCGTTTCGATTTTGAAGGGTAAGGGTGCTGGTGTTGGTAGGTCATTGACGCTAGAGATATTACAGGCACATGAGACTTGTCGGCTTATGTTTTATGGGTGACAGTCGCGGTGGCAGCTCTGAGTGGCACTGTAACTGCTATGGACAGGCGTGTCGCTTAACACCAGGCGCACGATTTGTTCGTTCTGTCACTTGATTTCATAAAAAAAGACCTAGACAATTAGTCGTTAACATTTTATTATTATTCAATTATTCATCTTTTCCTTTCGTTCTCTGTAGCACACGCATTTCCTATATTTATTAAATTCCTCTCCCATTACGTTTTATCGTTAATCCGTTTCCTAAATTTCTTAACATACAAAAAGGTTTCCTCGTATTTTAAATAAGGGTAACCATCTTGGAGTAATGCTCCCATTCCTGCTTGGCGGCAGAAATAGTTAAGGTGGCAGTACTTCTCTGGAAGAACTCTTTCACAAGGAGCTCTACTGCTACCAAAATATTCTCTCTATTAAAAATATCGCAAGGATAAGCAAGTTTGTTTTTAAGTTAACTTGTTTGTCCTCAAGGGAATTCTAAGTAATTAACTCCCCTACGTTGTGTAGACACGTATTTCTCTGTTTGCGAGAGGTAAAGAACCTTAAGTCCACATTTCGGAATTTAAATGTTTTTACAAACATTGCTTTAGAATGTTTAAAATTACGTAAGGGTAAAAGACATTCAGTCTTATCGTGGTTTGTTGTATTTGACTTTTAGACAAAGCTTTCAAGTCACTCGCAAATCGCAAAGCGACCGCGAGGCGTTGTCGCTGCGTGCTCGCGGCGTGCACGCCGCTCTGTCGCATCTGTCGCAAATCGCCAGTGTGATAAAGCTCTAAGATTGATTTTAAATGCTTAATCAAGAGCAAAGGTAAAGGTCTGTAAAACGATCTGTAGTAAAAAAATACTATTTGGCATTTAAAGTTCTTTATCTGTCACTTATAGTTCAACCAGCTCTACGTCTTTTACTGATATCAATATGATCTTGACTTAACTTGACTACATACACGTATGTAATCAAGTTCGCTACGTCTCAGTTGTTATATATTTCAAAAATACCTCTTCATAAGTCGTCAGTCAAGTTGTTATCTCGCAGATAGACCCCCACACCCGCGTGTGCAGTATAGTATTGTTAGCAGTATAGTACTAATACCAAGTTAGAGGATGAACAAGTCGTACGCCTGGTAGTAAGCAACACCCCCATCTCCTCCGTGGCCGAACGGTTACCATGCCTGACTACTACGCAGAGGTTCCGGATTCGATTCCCGGGCCGAGAGAAATATTTATATGACCTACATATATGTATTTATCTCGTGAGTTTAGATGTAATTTGTGGTTGTCTATATGTGTGTCCATGGCACTCATATAGACAACACACACACACACACACACACACACACATTAGACACACGGTTTCCCTATTGGGGGGCTATGAGTGTGTGTTGTTATTATTATCCAAAACAGTTGCAGTGCCACTCAGAGCTTTAAACGGCAAAGATCTTAGAGGCATTGCCACTGCGCCCGTCACTAAGTTGCCAAGTCCCGTGAGCGTGTAATTTCACCAGCAACCTTACCCTTCAAAACCGGAACGCAGTAATGCTCACATTACTGCTTGGCGGCAGAAATAGGTAAGGTGGCAATACTTTCCTGGACGAACTCTTTCACAATGACCTCTACGTGTACGAATTAATGCGTTGTTATAAAGATCTTCATATTAATATTGAGACCCGGACCCGTAAATCATTCCCCAGTGATCGGAAATTCGGGTGCAAATCGGGTAATGGCAAAAAATATACGATGTTGGGAAGCAATAGCTCATTTACTTCGCTTGCACCATGACCGACGCAGTCTCTTTGGGGGCGTTGCAAAAGATGCGGCCTATTTACTATTTGCTGCTTTTTTGAAAAGGTTATTTTATTTTAACTTATTGTGAGACCAACGGCTATATTGCAGAGTAAAAACTGAAACAATTATGTAGAGCCAGTTATAGGGCCTCACCGATAGACATTAAGTTAATGAGCACTAAATTACTAACTATATAACTAGTAACTATACTATATAGGTACATGATATTTTCTCAGCAACTAGTAATTACCTATTCGCCAAAAATCTTGCGATTTTCCACTTCCTGTTTAGTCGTAATAGGTCGGTAAAGCGAAGATAAATGTCGGATATAAACAAAAAAATATTATCGTGTTTGAGAGAGTACTGTCAAGAAGTTCCTGTCGACAACTAACTCCATCATCACCGTTAAATCAGCGCGCATCTAGGAAATGCTTTCTCAGCTGATCGTAAGAACTAAATACGATATAGAACCGTATAAGGATTCCTTAGAGGAACATGATTTCTGGCAGCATCATGTCAATATTTTCACGTATGACAATAGTAGGTATGTCATCTGAAATTATGGTACAAGATCTGGCTCAAATATTACAAGTGAACTGAAATAACAAAAGCTTTTCTTATAAAAGCTTACATAAAAAAATATGTGTCTTGTTTGTAACAAATGCAAACTAATTTACGTATCAGTAAAATGAGTTAAATCAGCTAATGTTTCAAGGATATCAAGTAAAAGTAATAAGAACTTTGTTTCAATCCTTTTCTTTTTGTGGTTAGGATTTGGAGATGCGCAGTAGAGTAATGCCGTTGGCGGTTGAGCGGTTGGGCGGCCGGGCGTTCGGCGTTCGGCGGCGGACGGGCGTCTCCGCGCTGATGCTGCGCCTCTTAATATTGTAAACAAGAGCTTTTTCGATTGGTGGGCGGCACCGCGCACGCGCTACCTACGACGTGATCTTAACACGACGTTCTGACATTTTTTGTTTTTTTTTTTAATATTTCATACAAAATACAAGACTTGTTTTTGATTTCGGCGATTCAGTTGTATTTGTAAATAATATGAATTCAAACAATCACAGAAATAATGGACCATAAAATCTACCATGCTTTTTCATCTTGTTGATCATACGTTGAAATCTTTAATACACAAAATTTTAAAGTTGAGGATGATACGTATTTGTGAATAGAGATGATGATTAATAACATTAGAGAGATGACTTTTTTACGGTGATTAAAATGTTTGTAAATCTTTAACGTTTTGCGGTGATTGATCACACTAGGTAGTTGCTGGAAAACTTCCACCCGATCAGCAAGTACAGAGTTAGGAGATCTCCTGAAAGCTCCCTCGATAAGAAATTTGATCGATCGGGAACCGCGGCCGCCGGCACGAGGTCGAGGCGGACGGCGCGCGAGGCGCAGGCGCGGCGCCTCGGGTTTGCGGGCGCGCGGCCGGGGCTTTAGACGCGCCGCGATGGTGGGCCGCGACAGCCGCTCGGAGAGCGCGGCGCGCCCCGCTGCGCCGCGGCATGAGTAGCGCGCCCGCCCGGCCCGGCCACCGCGCCCGCCATGGCGCAGGCCGCGCCCGCGCCCCACACCACCCACTCCTTCGCCAAGAAAACCTTCCACAAGCCCACCTACTGCCACCACTGCTCCGACCTGCTCTGGGGCCTCATCGGGCAGGGCTACGGCTGCGAAGGTACGCGTCGCGCATGCGCCCGAAGCGCGTCGATACCGCGCACCAACCGGCCGCGCGCCGCCCGGCGTCGCACGACCAGCGCGTTATGCAACCCTGGGGCCGAAGCCCTTGGCCCCGGTGGTCGAGGACCTCGGCCTGCACTCCGCCCTCTTCGACGCCCGTCCGCCGCTGCGCTACCGCTGGGCACGACCAGCTCTCCGACTCTCGCTACTGTCTTTTTTGAGTGTTCTTGTTCGTGTTGCTTGTTTGTCTAGCAAACGTTAGTTTAGGCGTTGCTGGCAGACGACTCGTAAGGTTTCGAAGACACCAACAAATCACCTGAAAACTATTAGTAGTAGTGACCAGTGACTGTTGAATTGATTGAACCCATTGGCATTGATGATAGTTGATTGGAAACATTTCCTAACCATGAAATGAGCTGTGATCGCTGGTGGTACACTGGCGGTGGTCGTGTGAGGATGCCTTCTCCGGCGGATGGATCGATGGTGCGCTAGGGATCAGCTGAAAGTCAAACGACCTAAGCATTCTCCGACGAACATATCGATCGATCTGTTTTGAGAGGTTTTTTCCGGCCACGCGGGGCGGGGCGGAGTGGGGCGGGGCTCGTGCCTGCTCCTCTCGATGTTGTGATCGTGTCCTATCCCCCAAATTTAGTGCCATGATATCACTCAGGAGCCGGTAAGTGACGGTACGCAGGTGCGATGCATAAAACGTGGGTTAGGGACACATCGGTGAGTCGATAACGTGAGAGAAGACATCTTGTTTTTGCGCATTTTGTTTTGATCCTTCCACGAATTTTCGTCCGATATAATGTTACGTAGAATCTTTAACTATACATTATTAACCAATAAAACTAGACAACTGTGTTTAATTTACAGTATAAACACTTATTATATCCTTATTAAAAAAGAAAAGTTACACTACAGCGATCTCAATATTACGCGTAACTACTTCTAAGAAAACACACAATACACATCTCACTTCAATGTAATATAAAAGCTAATGTTCAAATATTGATGAGCTTCCAAAGAACTATACATAATTTAACAGCTTTCTTTTCATATACATGTACACATTAAAAAGGAGGTATTACAAAGAAATATAGAAGCACAAAATATTATTCTTGGAACGTCGTATCCCATAAGATCAACTCTGATTTTTTTGAATTTGATAAATATATTTCTAACAAATCGGAACAGTCGTGATCGTGGGACCTGTGAAGAACCCGAATCGTTGGTTTGATTGACAAAACAAATATACGCGACTTAGATCCGAGATTTTTAATGCACAAATATCTCATTGATGTAATAATGAATGAAAATGATGGAATAAAGCCATATCTCTACATTTTGTGCTTAAATGGAAGAGCTATGAAATTTCACATATATGTATATAATTTGTGTCATGATGTTTATTTTACAACTGTTATGTGATAAAAGAACGTCTAACGTCAAATGTGTCTTAATCATAGATATAGTCTTAATACGACATACACATGAATCGAAAAAGCAACAAAAATCTAATATTATATCGATTATTGAATTTAAGACTTCATCATCATTCGCTATTGCAAACAAATCTATGAAATGTACATGAATACAATATTCAAGGACCGGATCATTTAAATTCAATTAATTCAATTAATATCGGCATACATACTTGTAAACTCTCATATCATAACGGAAAGCTAATGAATTATTAAAAACAATACGGTTTCCTGGTATAATCGCGGTTAACGTTCTTTTATACAATGATTTGGTTGCTAAATGAACAGCCGATTTCGAAACAAGAGAAAAATATGTTAAAAGTCTCGTTTTTGCGTTCAAAAATACACTTCAAATATTAAAACATTCGACAACGTCATCGTGTTAGTAAAATTGGCTATATTGTAAATATCGAAATCTAGCTACTACGTCAGTCAGGTTGGCATAAAGCTGGGCACCACACTGCTAATTTTCTTGAAACATTTGGTCATTGTAATTGCATTGATACTCCACTGACATTATATTGCAATTATGATAGTATTCGTTATTTTGCTAGTTGCACTAGTAGTCAATGGAATAGCAGTGATGGCATACTATTATTCAATTAGTCACAATCGATGTTTCGTAATTGAAAATTGCAATGCATATCTTAATTCTAATAAATAATATTTATTATGCATGGTGTTCAATCCAATTCGCGGTTTTGGCAATGCTGACTTGTTGAATACAACACTTATTATATTATTATTAATAATACTTAAAATGTTTACAGTGGTATAATGATGATGGCCCCAAGAATTTAAATTTCATAGGACTGTAAATGGTACAATGCTTTTATTATTTTTGAGATTCTAATTTGCAAGATTCAACTCATTACATGTTTGTATCTGTGGAATGTGAAGCTACATTTTAATATTTGTCATTGGTGCTAGTAGTGTTAATGCACAGGCATTTTTATGCTAAGTTTAGGCATCAATCTGCCACAAAATTATCCCGAAATTTAACGTATAAAGTGTTCCTAGCTATAATATGTATTTTGTGAAAGAGAAGTTTTGAGAGAATTTTTTTTTATATTTACTGAACAATTTAGTCTTCAAATAAGTATATAATATTAGTAGACCACGCCATCCCATCGACTCGTCATTGAAGAGAATACCAAAAAATTACAATGGCAGTTCAATAGTAACTAGATGGCTAGCTACTGACAAGCCATTATCCTAACCTTTTAACAGAATACAAAAAAAACCAGCCATTTATACTCTATCCACACACAACTGGGTTTTGTGGTTGTGGTGGACGAATGGGTGACTGAGGAAGTAGCAGAATTAACTATATACTTGTTCACTTTATACTCGTATAATGACTGTTTATTCAGGCAAAACACAACTTTATACTTAAAATACAAGACACGATTCGAGGATTTATATTGTAAGGCTCATCCAAGTACACACACAGCATGAATTTATTCCTAGGTAAATACAACTTGGACGTTTTAGGCAAAGATGTTTCATTCGGTTTGTAGCAAAAATAATATTTAGGGACTAAATATCTGTACAGGTTATTCGGAAAACATTAACAATCTCGCAGGACTGTTATTACTTATGTGGTTTGTGGTTATTACCATCGAGTATATAACCTCGATGGTTATTACTAACATAATAAACAACAACTTTTGTTCCATGACTTTTAATAATTCTTCAGGTATTACTTTCTAACAAAAATAAAAAATGTCACCAATTAGACCGACCTACGTAAATAACTGCGCAATAAAAGCGCTACCATAAGTACCAATTTTTTGTTAATATGTTAATATATTGATTTACCAATTTCTACCAAAAAAATGTATAGATTGTCAGATAGTACAATAAAAACGGAATTTTTTGATTTATTATGTATGTTGTGTAAAATTTTATGGAACAACAATTGTTGTCCTACGACGTTGTTACTATTATACAAACAACCCTGTATATATTATAAAGAACTACATGTTTAGGGACATAAAATTCATAGTAATTACAGACATACGACATGCATTACACACACGTCACATGGATGAAACTGCACCACGAAACATTATTGGAAGAAATCGTAGCACGTAGCATCTTTTTACAACAAGTCGTAGTAAGGTCCGCGTAGCTGCGTACGATATGCCTACTCGCGTAACAAAGCCGTCATAGATTTACATTTTCACTTTCACATAAGAAATCCACAAAAATATTGTTTATTTCTGGTGCGTGACATTTTAGCATTTTTTAAAATTTAATAATAAATATTCTTAAAATCACCGAACGCGGAAAAAATTCTATATAAAACCAAGATGTAGGTATATGTAACGCGAACATAAATCCTAATAATACCTTAGACATTGTAAATGCAAAAACATATTCGCTACAATCACATACCACTATCTTAAATTTCCGCTCGGAGACGTGCCTGTGCTACAAAGAAGCATTGGAAAGGGATTGGTGCTAACCGTGATGGCTACAGTTGTCAGGTAGGTGGGAACAAAACACTTCCTCACGGGGCTATGTAGCGCGGCAGTGGCAACAGAGCACGGCACAAAGCGACACTACAAAAGCGTCAACTGACGCTATCGCTATAGACAATAGGTGTCCGACGCGCCGTCGTCGCGCTTTGTTCGAGATAACGTGTGGTCGCTTGTCTTCGCCGGCAGCGTGACTTCATGCCTTCGTGCCCTAGTTTTAAGATAAGGGCTTTAGCATGTTACAATAAAAAAAACAATTAAACTCAAAAATAACATCCTCTAAAACTTACAATCTCACTATAGGCAAAAGAAGTCGTTTAAACAATTGACGTTCGCAGCTTATGATTATAAATAAAACTTTATTTCTTTTTAATAATTCCCTTCGGTAGTTCAATTTAGTTTCGTTAAATTATCATTATTTGTTTTTTTTTACAGTTAAAATTATTTGATACCTTCTCATCCAACAAAAAAAAATGCCGTATTTTTGTGATCATAATTTTGAGACGATTTACTGTTTTGTTTACATTGCTTACGTTATAGTTTCTTAATTCTTTTAGGCAGATGGCTTTATAGCCAATGTTCAATATATTATGTAACAGGATCTATCACAACAACATTTATGCTTAATCAAAAACATAGCGATAGTTAATTGTCTACCAAAATGTTTGAGTAATGACAGGTTTATGTAGGTACAGTTTTTTTTACCTTGCCCAACGCATTAGCATAGCAATACAAAGGGGGAACACTGCCAGCATCTTGGGCACCTTGCCGCGGGGACCCAATTTTATTCATATAATTTAAATATCCTAGTTTTACTTTCTAGTAGTTAAGCTTTTGTTGTCTTTTTTACCTTACCTGTAAATTGTCTTAATTAAATAAAGAATTAATTTTTAGTTAAAACATGTTACGTTTTGCATTTCTTAATTATTTAAAACATTCGAAAATGTTTTAACATGAACGAAAATATATTGAAATTTATAAATATTTTCGTTTCCGATAATCGTATCCTGTAAATAATATATTTGTCCTAT